AAATATTAAACTTGACAGAAAATGATAATTTACACCTGCTCTGTGGGTGTCTGCTTTGTGTCTCTTTTTCCATCCCTCATTTATTTGCTGCCTGTTGTTTTCCCATTTCTCCTTGGTCAGTTGTTTTTCTTTTGGGTAGCTTCTGTCTAGAATTAAAAAAAAAAAATAAAAAAAAATCAGTGTTGGTTTCCTGGGCAATTTCTCTGTTTTTGTAGCTGGTTTCTATTAATGGTTTTGAGATGAATCCCAGGAATCTGAAGCTTTCCAGCCAAAGGAGGTGTTTAAATATTGTGCCAGCCAAGGGTGCTGGAGTGCAGGGAGTTTTTGGAGATGCTTTGTGGGTGCAGACAGAGCTCTGTGACCTGCTCCAAGGACAGAGAAATCAAAAATCCCGGGATTAATGGGAATAAATCCCCGGATTAATGGGAATAAATCCCCGGAGTAATGGGAATAAATCCTTGGATTAATGGGAATAAATCCCGGGATTAATGGGAATAAATCCCCAGAGTAATGGGAATAAATCCCGGGATTAATGGGAATAAATCCCCGGAGTAGTGGGAAAAAATCCCTGGATTAATGGGAATAAATCCTTGGATTAATGGGAATAAATCCCGGGATTAATGGGAATAAATCCTTGGATTAATGGGAATAAATCCCCGGATTAATGGGAATAAATCCCCGGAGTAATGGGAATAAAACCAACTTTTCAACCCGGAGTGTCCAGCCCATGCCAGGGCATTGATTTATTCCCGTGTGGCTCTGGAGCATTTCCAGCTTTCCCAAATGCAGGAATTGCCTTGGCAATGTCGGGACAAACTCAGGAGCTTTTTTTATTCCGCTTTTAAAGTTTTGCAGTTTATTTTGTAGGGTGTGGGTTTATATGAGGCCCTGCTGGGAACTGCAGCCACAGCTCAGAGCAGGGCAGAGAGAGGGAGAGAGTGAGAGTAAAAGAAGAAGCTCAAGAAAATAAGAAGAGCAAGAGCATAAAAGAGATTTCCCCCTTTTCAATACATTAAATCTTCTTCTATGCTGAATATTCTAATTTCCACTCACCAATCTAAGATACAAATTCTCTGACATTTGCATGCAGCCTATAGGAATCACTGTATTTCCATGTTTTCCTGCTTTTCTCATCTCTAAATTTTATCTGGGACCTTTCCTGCCGTGCCTAGGGAGGATGTCTGTTTGTTTTTTTGGTATTTGCAGCATTTAACATTATTTAAACAAAAGAACCTTCAGGCATTCAGTTGCTTTCAGTCCCACAGTGGAAAATTGCTCTCATTTCTATTTCACTTCTATTTTCCATATTCTCAAAGTCTTTTGCTAGGTACTTGTATTTATTGATAAGGTTTTTCTAATTCATCCTTCCCAACAAGGTGGGATCCAGGATCTGATCCTGGAGGGATTTTCCATCCCCAGCAATGCTGGCATTGAGGGCCCAGCATGGCACTGGGGCATTTCTGTGCCCTTCACCTGCCTCTGCCTGTCCCAGGGCTGCTGTTTAATGATTTTTTTTAATTTTTTTTTTTTTTAATTCAGCCCAGTCTAAAGGTGTCAGAGCTCTGCCCTGCTCATCCCCCAGCTCGTGTTTGCCTCAGCTTTGGTGGCTGCATCTCAGGCTGCTGATTACAGTGAACTCCAGCGAAATGGAACAAAAAAACCCCAAAAAAATTTGTTGAGAGCATCACCTTGTCGCTGTGCCCTTCAGAGAAGGCAAACCAGGAGTTTTTGTGTTTGTGGCTGGGGAACAAGCAGGGTAATGCTGGGCCTGAGAGGTGCCTGGCTTGTTCCAGCCCTGCAGTAATGACAGGCTCTGCTTGGCAGCCCTCTCATTGGGGCTGGCTTGAAATTTTGGCCTCGCAGTTCCCAGCTCTTGCTCTAAGCTGGATTATTTCAGGCTCGCTTAAGGAGTTCGTGGCAGCTGGGAGATTTGGTTTAAAGAGAAAAGCTTTGCCACCAAGTGAAAAATGGTGTTGGTGTCAACCCTGAACCGTGGTGCCTTTCTCTTTGGCTGCTCCCATGCAAAATTCCTTTTTTTCCACATTTTATTTTGAAGAATCCTTGCTGCCTTTGCCACTGCCAATTAGCTGTGCTCTTTATTCCAAAGCTGTAACATTTCCTACTCCTTTTCTGTTCCAGGAATTTTATCCTTTCTTCTTCTCACGGGTAGGTATTTTCTCCTTTGATCCTGGTGGAACATTCTGGGTCCTGTATTTAGAGAAGCTGTTGATGATAAGCCTGGAGTGTTGACAAATCCAGCACACAAGGCCTCGTGCTGTAATTTGTGTCAATCATGAATGCTGCCATTCCTTTTTAATTCATGTATTTATGGCTGTGAAGATGGGGTGCAAGGGGCCTCTCCCACTCCTGTTTCCCAGGGTTAGTGGCTCTCAAAAATTGCAATAAAGGATGGAGGGTTCCCCTCGGCATCAGATCTTTTTTCCTGATCTGATCTTGCTCGGTTTTTCTGGCTGCTGATCCTCAATTTGGATTTATTGGGAAGTCTCTGAGTGCAGCCTGAAAACAAAAAATGGTAAAAATGGAAGAGGTGGGGAGGAGGAAACTTCCTGACAGTGACAACTTCCCACAAGCCAATTACCCCCGTGACCCCTGCGCTTTCAGCAGGGCTTTGTCCACCTGAGTCACTGCTTTGGATGTGAATTAGGTGTGAAATACCAATTTCCTTTTGCCACAATGAAAAAGAAGCGACTCTGGGAAACACGGGAGCTTTTCTTCTGCTGCTGACCTGACCTGCTGGCAGGTGCAGAGCCTGCAAAACCGCTCCTGTTGCTGCTAGAAACTCCTTTTTTTTTTTTTTTTTTTCTTGCCTGCGTGAATTTGCTTTCTGCGGTCAGAGTTTGTGGTGAGCTGGAGATGAGCAGTGGGCAGCCAAGGGATGCTTGGAATTGGGAGAGGGGAAGGAGAAAGGCTGGGGGAGCTCAGAATGGAGAAGCTCGTTTAAAATTCAGCTCCTAGAGCAGGAAAAATGTTGACACAGCTGCTCTTGCAGGATGTCTTTGGAACAGCAGAGCCCCAGGAAGCAGGGCTGGCTGCAGGATTAGACAGAGATCTGCAAACCTGGTCCCTTTCCTCCCCTCTGTGAACCCCAGAGAAGCTGCTGCTCTCCCCCTGGGTGATTTTTGGAGACTTCAGCCTTGTCCAGCCTGGACTTGGCTCCTTGCAGTCAGGAAATATCCAGTCCATGACAGCAGCAACCACAGCAATCTGCTCCCTCCTCCCAAAAAAAAAAAAAAAAAAAAAATCCCTGCGAGGAGCAGGCAGTAACCTCTGCAGTGCCACGGCTGGGAGGCAGAAAACTGGGAAAAAAAACCCAAAAAACAACTTGGAATTGCAGCCTGGAAGGGCCTGGCCATGGTTTGGAGGGACCAGGGGAAGGAGACAATGCTGGATTTGCTCTCTGTGTTCAGTGGGAGCAGCTTTTTGCCTCCCAGCCAGGCGTTTTTCCAGGCTGCTGTCAACACAGACTGCTCTGGCTCCGTGATGGAGACAACAGGAAAGGCTCCTGACTCCATGAAATTCCATGAAATTCCATGAAATTCCATGAAATTCCATGAAATTCCATGAAATTCCATGAAATTCCATGAAATTCCATGAAATTCCATGCCCAGCAGCTGCTCTGCATCAGGGCTGTCCTGGCTGTGACAGTGGCTCAGCTCAGGGACAGGGGAACAGGAGCCTTTGGTGGGTCTGGGATTGGAATAATGGGAATTTTCCTGAGGCTGGCGAGGAGAAGCTGATGGGAATAGGGGCTGCAATTGGGATTGTTAATTATCCAATTAGCAGTGGCACAGCTAATTGCTGGCGGTGGGGATGTGGAGGGAGGGGCTGTTCCTGTCCCATTCCCCCCAAATCTCCTCATTTCACAGAAATCCCAGAGTTGGAGTTTCCAGAGAAATTTTGTGAAGTTCTTGTCTGAAGATTATTTCAGGATTTTTCTCTAGAAGCAAACCAGTTCTCTGGGTCTGCCTTGGACAGTGGGGAGTTAACAGCAGACTTTTTTTCTTTTTTTTTTTTATTTTTTTCATGGTCATATTATCTAATAATAATAATAATAGCTGCAGTTTCTTGGAATTTGTCTGGAAGTGTCTGGTTCTGTCTGATGCTGGAGACGGGATCCTGGACTGGGTGATCCCCAAGTTTCCCTTGTTGCAGTGTGTAATTATTTAAATGTTTATTTAGGGTGTTGTTATAATTATAATACTCTCCTCTTTCCTGAAAGTCCTCCCCCTCTGGCATAGGGAGAATCTGTTTTCTGGTGGAGTAGAGAGACAGAAAAATGTCAGAAGGAAAAATTCAAGTGTGGTAATTAAACTTTTCCTCATGGATCCCATGGGAAGGCTCCTGACTTGTGTTTTTAAATTCTCTTATGGAATCCCACAGACATTTAAGGACAGGCAGTTTTAATTCCCTTTCTTCACTTGATGACTAATTTGATTTAATTGTAAAATCCAATTAATCCCATCCACTAAATAGTGTTCACCATAAGCACCAATAACCTGACAACAGAATGCAAGAAAACAGAAAAATTGACTGCATTTTAATTTTCCTACAATATGTAATTTTAATTTTAATATCCTAGCAGCAGCTACTCTATTTCCTATTTTCCACCCTATTTCCTGACTTTATACTCATTGTAATTTTCCTGTAAATACCCAGCCCTTGCTTACAAATCACAGGACAGGGTAAATATTGTTCTTTAGGTTGTCTTTGGAGACCGGAGCTGGAAGTAAAACCATATGAGGAGACCAAGATCAAAAAAAAAACCCATTGAAGGCAGCAGAAAATAAATGCAGTCTGGAGGAGTGTCAGACAAAGGGAGGGAACAGCTGGATCGAGTAAAACACCAGGAAAATTGCTTCCATCCCTAAGGGGGAGGGAGGAAGATTTGTTTTGTCAGCCCAGAGCTGTGTGGGACCAACTTGAGCCGATGAAAATTTGATGTCAGAGTCAGGGAGGGCTCAGAAGGGGAGGGGAAGGAGCAGAGGGATCTGCAGAAAGGGGTGAGGGGAAAGGAAGGAGCTGGAGGTGGAGAAATCCTGCAGAATCTGGGGATGTCAATTGATGAGGTCATAGAGTTTGCCAGTTGCAGAAAAGAAAGTTAAAGGCACAAAAAAAAAAAAAAAAAAAAAGTTTTGAAGTTGTTTTTCAAAAGAGGCGAAAACTCCGAGAAGCCGAAGGAATGGAGCAACTTTTCAAACTCCTCCTGTGGCAGATTTTGCTTCAGCAAAGTAAGCTCCGAGCTGCTGGTGGGCTTTACTGGTTTTTTTATTTCAGCTGGGGGTTGGCTGCGGGATTTTGAGCCGTTCTCTTTGTAAGGTTTTGTTCAGATTCCTAAACTTGCTCTGTTTTCATCTGGAGAGGGGAAGGGAGTCGTGATTTTTTTCCTCTGCTTTTTGGGGACAGAATGGAAAAATGTTTGAGGTTGTTGGAGCTCTGTTCAGCGTGTTTGTGCAATTTTTTTTTTTTTTTCTTTTTCCTATCAGCAAATTCACAACCAATAAGCTTGGATGCGAGTACAGCAAAGGTTTCAGAGATTTCCAGGATTAAATGTTATTTTTCATGTTTGAAGAAGCAGAAACAGCTGGGGGTGCGTGCGTGTGAGGGTTCAGATGGAAAGAAAAAAAAAAAAAGGATGTGTGGTTTTTGGTTTCATTTTCCTCTCGTCAGCAGAAAGACCAACACAAATTCACTTTTGGGCAGCAAGGTGCAAGAAAGGAGTAGGAAGTGTGGAGCACAAGTTTTTTTAGGGACTGGTGACCTCTTGTTCTTAGCAATTTTTTTTAAAAAAAGCTGTGGTGACACCTGAGCCCCCCAATTCCTGAGGTGGGATAAAGTGAGGAGGACAATTCCTCAATTCCTGAGGAGGAATAAGGGGAGGAGAACAATTCTTCAATTCCTGAGGAGGACAATTCCTCAATTCCTGAGCTGGGATAAAGTGAGGAGGACAATTCCTCAATTCCTGAGGAGGACAATTCCTCGATTCCTGAGCTGGGATGAGGTGAGGAGGACAATTCCTCAATTCCTGAGGAGGACAATTCCTCATTTCCTGAGCTGGGATGAGGTGAGGAGTTCCCTCTGGTCCCTGATTATTCCACCCTCCATGTCTCCACTGCCTTTTTGCGATGCCCCAGGGCAAGGTTTGGCGATTGGCAGGTGACGGGGACAACCATGGGGACAGAAGGGTTAAAGTGGCTCAGAAATGTGGGGTGGCTTAAAGAGGAGGAGGAGGAGAGGGCACAGATCTGTGCTGCACAAACACCAACCAGTCCAGTGAGTCCCGGGGCTGGAAGAGCAGGTTGGGCTGCTGCAGAGCCGGGCTGAGCTCTGACAGAATTCCCGGAGCCTTCTGCCTTTAGCTGGGTGCAGCCCCGATGTTTGAGCCCACCCAAATGAGGACCTAAGTCACGGTGAGGGTGGGAATGGGGGCGAGCTGTGGTCCCTCGAGTGTTAATGTCTCGGGGAGGGCGAGCTCCGTGTTTGGAATGGCTCTACAAAACCATTCCCTTGGGCCTGCAGCCAAGGGGAAGCTCACAAGGCAGGGGAGGCTTTCTAAAGCTCAGCTCAAATCCCAGAAAAGCTGGGGCACATCTCGGAGGGGTCCTGTCTGTGCCCCCCAGGTGGGGTTTGGCTCCTTGCACAGCCCAGGAGTTTTCCCTTTCTGCAGAGGCAGCACATTCCTGCTCTCTGCGTGTTCCTGCCTGCAGGCAGGGCTGGAATTGTTGGGGCTGGATGGGTATTTAGGGGCTCTGACTTCCTTTTTGGAAATGGGAGACTCTGCTGCTGGGAAAGTTGTCCCAGGAAGTCTTTAAAAATAAACAAACACAGAGATTTAGAGAAAATCCCAGTTCAAAGCCTGGCTCTGAAGGGAAATTTTGTTTTACTGAGGAGCTGAGTGGGGGAAGTTTAGGACGAGCTGTTTTCTCACCATATCCCTCTTCCAGATGAGCCCAGATGTTTCTCCTCGGTGGGTTTAGAAACCTCTGGCTCCCAGAGGAGAGCTGGGCTCATTTCTGTCACTGTCACCTTGCTGCTGCTGCATCAAAAGCCACCAGGGCCCCTCAGCCCCCTAAAGAGCCAGGATGGAGCCTCTGCCACTCCCCAGAGGGTTTGGGGACAGCCTGGTGCCACAGGCTGCTGCTTTTCCCATGATTGTGACCATAAAACCCCCATTAAACCCCCTAAAAGCAGAGTCACGGCACAAATGAGGATTGTGGCACCCACAGAATCTGCAGGACTTTTGTGCTCTGGTTGTTTCTCATCCCCCAGAATGAAACAGGAACTCAGTGGTTCCATCAGCAGCGAGCTGAGCAGCAGCTCAGGAGGGAATTCATTCATCCCAGGAATTCCTCTCCAGCAGGGAATTCATTCATCCCGGGAATTCATCCCAGGATTGTTCAGGCAGGGCTCAGGACAAGGACTCAGCTCTCTGTCCTTGCCCTGCTCCAAGGACACTGCCTGTCACACATCTCTCACAGCCCGAGCCTTTTGCTTCTCATTTGCCCACAGATTTTTTTCTTTTCTTTTTTTTTTTTTTTTTTTTTTTTTTTTTTTTTTTTTTTTTTTGGTAGCTTAATTCTTCACATGAAAAATGGATGGGATTCAAGAAGTAAGAGCTGGCTCTGCCTTTTACAAGGGATTAAGAAATCGTTTTCCAGTCTGCTTTCCTCTTCCTCTTCCCTACTGTGGGAGCACAGAGTATCTCTGGGATCCTGCTGAGTCAGCACAGAATTGCATTTTATTGGTGCTTTTTTTGTTGGTGTTGTTTCGAGGGGTTTTTTTTGGTTTTTTTTGTGGTTTTTTTTTGGGGGGGGGTTTGGGTTTGTTTGTTTTGTTTTTTTGGGGTTTTTTTTTTTTTTTCTGTGGTTACATCACCCAGAGAAGACAAAGTGATTCTCCATCCCGTGCAACTCGAAATTTTCCAAAGGAAAGCCACAGCTGAGCTCTGTGTTGACAGCTCTGAAGGCAGCTGAGGCTGAGGAGCTGCAGCTCCTGGAGTCCTGTGAGGACAGAGCTCAGAGCTGTCACCAGGTGAAAACTCTGTGGTTTCACAGCTGCCTCACCAGAATCCTGCTTCCAGCTGACCCCAGTGCTGCAGCTCATGAGCTGTCACCTTCCCTGGGCCGTGCCTTTATCTCTGCCCAGAAGCTGCTGTGTCAGAAAATCCAGTTTAAAAGCAGGGCTTGGTTGCTCTGCTTGTCTCTGAAAAGAGCAAAAGGCTCGTTCCTCCTTCCACTGCTGCTCTCTGCTCAGATTATTGAAGGTCAGTTGTTCTAAATTCCATTTTTCCAGGCGTGCAGGAGATCAGAGACATCCCAGATTCCTCGGATTTCTGAGTGATCTCATTCACAGCTCTGTCAAATAATTTTGAGCCTTACCCACGAGCTGATGGATGTGTGCAGGGGGAATCAGAACAATCAGTTCTTCCTTCTTTTTCTGCTGGAGTTTCTGTGCCTCTTGTGAAGAATTATCCTTTTTTTTTTTTCCCCTCCTTCTAGAATTTTGCTGCTTGGCTGCAATGTCACTTATTTTTAATATTTGCACCATTTTGTCAAACCAGGGGTGATATCCTAGGGCAGGTTCAGACCCAAAGTTTGTGTCCAGACTCTGTGTGTGCACAAAGTGAGAAATTCTGTCTCTTCCCACCTCTCTGTGCTCAGCTCCAATATTTAAATTCTAAATTCACCTCTTCTGGGATGGCTTCTGTGGTGATGTTCAATGTCATCCCAGCTTCGTGTGGCAACAGCCAGCAAGTCACAAATCCTATAAAATGCAAAATATGAAATCCACAAGCTCTTCCCTGGTCCCAAGAGGACACAGCATCTCGTGGTCAGTGAGAAACACCTTGGAATGACTTTTTGAGGAGGGAACAGCATTCCTGCCCTGTTCTTGGCTGAAGTTTTAAAGGTGGAGGGGAAAAGACCCCACAAAACATCAAATTTTCTTGGCTAAAAGCTGTTCCATGCCAGCCAACCCCTTTTTTTTTGACAGAGAGTTGTGTTTGGAGAATCACCTGTGGCTCCAGCAGCTACACCTGGGCAGGGCAGGGAAGGGAAGGGTGGTGCTTGCCTTTGGGTTTGGTTATTTATTAAATCTTTCCTCAAGTACAGAAAGTTCAGCAACACTTCCAGCTAGAAGGGAGCAAAATGGAGCTGGACCTAGCAAGCTACAAAGTCTCTTCAAGCCAAACAGTCCAATAGAGAATAAACACCTGTATTATTTATACTTTTGACCCAAAAACCAAACTCCTGTGCCCTGCACTGCAGCACCAGCTGTCCAACCAAAAACTGAAGCCATGAAGAAGAAGGAGCATGAGCATGAAAAGAGGCACCACCCCAAATCCCCCACCTTGCCCCATACCTGTCACTTTATTATAAAAACCTCAGATTTAAAACCCTTCACCGTGTGAAATCACACACTTCTGTTTTATTACACACCCCTGATTTTAACTCCATCACTCAAATTCGGAGCCTTCTCCAAGGCCTTAAGTCAAAAGCAGTGTTCTCCAGGAGATCACAGAAAACTCAAAAAAACTCAGATTTCTGGGATCCAACACTTTTCCTGGCAGGTGGAAGGTGCAGGGGTTCCAAAAAGGAGCCAGAACCAGGTGCTGGTGTGAGCTCAGAGCTTTGGATGGCTGAGCTTTTGTCGGTGGTTGGATTTTTCAAAATGCTGCTTTGGTAAATTGGAGGCTGCTTTGGTAAATTGGAGGCTGCTCCGTGTTTTTCCCATTAGCTCAGAGGAAAGGAAGGAGAGCAGTAAATGCTTTCATTGCTCTGCCCGAGCCAGCAGAGGATGTTTCTGTGGCCCCAAAGCAATCGTTTGTTGGGGCAGGGCTCACACACCATTCCCCAGCTCGCACATCGCTGCTCGTGTCGCGACATTGCCTTGGCACCCACTGAGGCACGACCACATGGCCTGGGATGCCTTTAGGTCTAAGTTTCCCTCTTCTCCTCGGATGTGCTTTTCGAGGTTATAAACGAGAGACAAATATCGATATTGAGCAGAACTGAGATTGTTTTATTTGCTGCAGACAGAGCAGGCAGCGCTGGGGAACGTGAGGGGTCACCGCCCACTCCACGCTCCACCCAACCTCGGTTTGCAGCCTCTTCTCACACTGGGGTTTTTATTGTCATCAATAATTTCGGGGTTTTTTGTTGTCCTAAGCAGTGGTGGTTGAATGAACATCCTTGTAGAGACCCAGCAGAGCAGTTCTGGGAGTCTGCTCCTTGAGATGAGCAGCATTGAGCACACAAAGGCAGGAAGGGCTGTTGGGAAGGCTGAGTTTGCAAGCTGGGAGCCCACACAACTTATTTGGAAAACACAACAGAATATAAAATAACATAAAATAACATAATATACCATAACAAGGTGATTTTAAACAGAATTATTTTATCATATAATTTCCATTATCTGGTGTCCATGCTTCACTTCAGAGCTGAGTATTCTGGTTTATACAAACCCCGATGTTTTTGTGATTAACACGAATCTTTTAGCAATTATCACACTGATGTGCTGGGGTGATGAGGACAAACCAGTTCCTATTCCAGTTAAGAACTCAAGGACCTTTTCTCCAAACTTCAGGCCCTAAGCACAAACTAAGTGGAAAGGTGGAGGGTGGGTTCATGCAAATGAACCAGAACCTAGAAAAGTGTGAGATTTTGTGACCAACCCCCTCCTTTCCTTCCATCTTGGAGCCATCCAGGCAGGGGCCACCACTGTGGCACTGATATTGCCGGGCTGTGCCTTTTGTTGGCCTTTTGTAGGCTCACAATAAATACCAATTTTATTTCCTTAACTCTGTGTGTAGCCTCTGCCCCAGCTCCTCAAGGCATCACCTGGGCACTGTGACCCCTCTGCTGTGCTGGCAGCACAAGTGACACCGATTTTTCCTGCCTGGTTTGGTGCTGTGGAATCAATTTTTATCGTTCTTTTTGTTGTTTTTTTTTTTTTTCTGAGCTAAATCTAAGTCCTGGCTTGCACAGACAAGGGCTGATCCATTTTGCTGCCTATCATGAGAGACAATCCAATGATGGGATTGTGATCTCTCTTTCTTACATACAGAGGGCACAGACCTTGTCCAAGATTTCATTTTTCTCTTTTTGATGCTGAGATTTTAAATGGAAGGAAAAAGCACCTCGTGTGTGAAGTGCCTTTGAGCTGGCAGAAAGTGCTGCTCATTTTTTGTCTTCTGCTGTCCCTGCCCAGTGTTTTGTGATAGAAAAAGGGGAGGAAACCAAATTTATTCTCAGCACTTGGGGGTGTGCTAAAATACCCTCAGTCTGGAGCTGAATTTTGAAATTCATAAATTCCAGGGCTGAAAAAAAATAAATTAAAAAAAAAAAAAAATACAGCCTTTGTCCGAGGGACTTTGTGCCTCTGACATTAGCAGGACAAAACCTCCAATGATTTGGATGGAACCCACTTGGTTTTGGCTGGGTGCAGGGATGAATGGTGGTGTTGTGTTGGGAATCTGTGCTGGCAATCAAAATCCTGATGCCAGGAGAGCTTCTAGACCCCCCCTCCCACACAAGGAGCAGGACCAGAGAAATGCAGAATCAAAGGAATTGGTTCATCTCTGGCAAAGCCCTTCCTGTGTGGATCTGAGTCATGTGAGTGAGTTGGAGAGAGCTGATGCATCCAGAGCACAATCCCAGAATTAACTGTGCAGACAAAAAAAATCAGCATTAACAGGGCAGGGCAATGGGTGGAGCAATAACAGAGGTGCTGCTGGACTTGGAGTGCTTTTGTAGCTTTTTTTATCCTTTTGTTGTCACTAACACTCTTTATTTTCTGCTTTGACAGGTTCTGTGTGCTCATATTCAGGTGAGTGGCATCTCTGTGAATCTCTGTCAGGTTTTGTGATCATGAGGAGGAGGGAGAGGGGCCCTGATTCCATGGCATGAGCAGGGGCTTGCATTCCTCACTTCCATGGATTGTGCATCCCATGCACTGGAGTCTCTAAACCTGGATTAACCCGGGGGTTGGGATTAGGGAGGGTGGGTAGGACAGCTCGAGGGGACAATCCTGATAACAGACATGAATGAAATCTGTGTTAAAGTTTTATTTATTGGGAAAAGGTTCTTCCCTCTGAGGGGGGCACTGATCAGGCTCCCCAGGGAATGATCCCAACCCCAAGAGCTCCAGGAGGGTTTGGACACCACTCCCAAGGATGCAGAGTGGGATTGTTGGGGTGTCTGGATCAGGGATTCTCTGGCTCCCTTCCAGCTCAGCATTCTTTAATTCTCTGTAAGAGTGCCCCATGCTGGTCTTGAAACCAGAACCAAAACCACACAGAGATCCCAAACTCCCACTCCATTGACTCCACAACCCTACAACTCTTTTTTTTTGCTGTTTCCTCTTGATTTTTCAGTCCCAGCCTCCAGCCCATCCAGCGTGGTGGTGTCAGTGCTGATCAGGCTCCCCAGGGAATGGCCCCAGCTCCAGGAGCTTTTGGACA